CTGCCAGCCTCTCCCTGTGTCCCTGCTTGGCCATGCCTGATTGCAGCACAGCCTCAGATGATCTTTTGGGGTGCTTCCTAGTGGCCGCTCCCATAGCTTTTTCACCAACAGACCCCACCTAACCATCAGAAAGCTTTTGCAAATGGGCTGCTGCCAGCACACATCTGCCACAGACATCCCCTGATTGCTTTGCCTGCACCCCTCATTGGAGTGTTGTTGCAGGCAGACTGAGAGCACTGTGGACCCTCCAGTACAGCAGTTGCTTATCTGGAAGGGCCAGAGAACAAGATTATGGGCCTGGACAGAGGACTCTGGATTACAGCATGTAACCCACGAGTGCTAAGCTGAGCCCTGGTACCCAGAAATCATCCAGAAACAAAGCTAGTCAACTAAACCCAACTTGTATAACAGTCAAACCCTCAATGACATCAAAGAAGATAAAAGCAAAAAAATCCCATCTAAAGGACAGCAACTTCAAAAATTAAAGGAACATCATTCTACACACATGAGAAAGAACCAGAGCAAGAATTCTGGCAAGTCTAAAAGCCAGACTGTGAGCATACTATTGCCTAGTGATGGTTCTTAACCAGATCGAAATGGCAGAAATGACAGACATTCAGAATTCAGAATTCAGAATCTGGATGGTAACGAAGAACATCAAGATGCAGAAGGAAGCTGAAACCCATCCCAAGGAATCTAAGGAATCCTGTAAAATGAATCAAGCTGAAAGATGAAATAGCTATTTTAAGAAAGAACCAAACTGATCTGATAGAGCCGAAAATCTCACTACAAGAATTTCATAATACATTCAGAAGTGTTAACAGCAGAATAGATCAAGCTGAGAAAAGAATCTCAGAGCACAAAGGCTGGTTCTTCAAATCAATTTCAGTTAGATAAAAATAAAGGAAAAAAAAATTTTTTTTAATGAGAAAAAATCTTGGGAAATGTAACATTATGTAGAGACCAAGCCTACAACTCACTGGGGTCCCTGAAAGAGAGGGAGAAACAGCAAGCAAACTGGAAAATACATTTGAGGATAATGTCCATGAAAATTTCCCCAACCTCACTAAAGAGGTCAACATTCAAATTCAGGAAATTCAGAGGACCCCAGAGTACAAAGAAGATCTGGAATCCTATTGAAACCATTGCAAAAAACTGAGAAGGACTCTTCCCTAACTTATTCTACAAAGGCAGCATCACTCTGATGCCAAAATCTGGCAGAAACCCAGTAAAGAAAGAAATCAGGCCAATATTCTTGATGAATATCGACACAAAAATCCTCAATAAAATACTAGCAAACTGAATCCAGCAGCACATCAAAAAAGCAAATCCACCACAATCAAGTAGGCTTTATTCCTGGGATGCAAGATTGGCTCACATATGCAAATCAATGAATGTCATTCATCACATAAACAGAGCTAAAAACAAAAAACACATCATCATCTCAAGAGATGCAGGAGAGGCTTTCAAAAAAATTCATCTCTTCATGTTAAAAATCCTCAACAAACTAGGTATTGAAGAACCATAATTCAAGATAATAAGAGCCATTTATGGCAAACCCACAGCAAACATCATACTGAGCAAAAGTTGGAAGAAAGCATTCCCCTTAAGAACCAGAACAAGACAAGGATGCCCACTCTCACCATTACTATTCAACATAGTTCTAGAGGTCCTAGCCAGAGCAATTAGGCAAGAGAAAAAAACAAAAGGCATTCAAATAGGGAGACAGGAAGTCAAACTCTCTGTTTGCAGACTCTATAATTCTATACCTAGAAAACCCCATAGTCTCTTCCCAAAGACTCCTAGATCTGATGAACAACTTCAGCAAAGCTTCAGGATACAAAATCAACAAAACTCAATAGCATTTCTATGCACCAATAACATCCAATCTGAGAGCCAAATCAAGAACAACAATCTAACTCAAAACAGCCACAAAAAAGAATAAAATACCTAACCAAGAAGGCAAAAGATCTCTACAAGAATTACAAAATACTGCTAAAGGAAATCAGACACAACACAAATAAGTGGAAAAACAACCCATGCTCATGGATAGGAAGAATAAATATTACTTTTTTTAAAATGGTCATAATTGTCCAAAGCAATTTACAGATTAAATGCTATTCCAATCGAACTACTGATGTTTTTCACAGAATTGGAGAACTATTCTAATATTCATATGGAGCCAAAAAAGAACCTCAATAGCCACAGCAATAATAAGCAAAAAAAACAAAGCTGGCAGCATCACTTTACCCAACTTCAAACTATTTACAAGATAATAGTAACCAAAAGAGCATGGTACTAGTACAAAAACAGACACAGAGACCAATGGAACAGGTTAGAGCACCAAGAAATAAAGCTGCACATCTACAACCATCTGATCTTCAAAAAAGTTGGCAATAACAAGCAATGGGGAAGGAACTCCCTATTCAATAAATTGTACAGGGATAACGGGCTAGCCATATGCAGAAGATTGAAACCAGACCCCTCCCTTTCACCATACACAAAAATCAACTCAAGATTTATAAAAGACCTAAATGTAAAACCTAAAATTATAAAATCCAGGGTAGAAAACCTAGGAAATATCTAGAAATACCTAGAACATAGGACCTGATAAAGACTTCATGATAAAAACTCCAAAAAACAATTAAAACAAAAATGTAAATTGACAAGTGGGGCCTAATTAAACTAAAGAACTTCAGCACAGTGAAAGAAACTATTAACAGAGTAAACAGACAACTTAGAGAATGGGAAAAAATATTTGCAAACTATGCATCTGATGAAGGTCTAATATCCAGAACCTGCAAAAACTTAAATTTACAAGAAAAAAGCAACTCTACTCAAAAGTGGGCAAAGGACATGAACAAACACTCCTCAAAAGTAGGCATACAGCCAACAAGCATATGAAAAGATGGTCAACCTCACTAATCACTAGAGAAATGTAAATCAAAACTACAATGAGATACCATTTCACACACCAATCAGAATGTTTATTATTAAAAAGTCAAAAAAAAAAATAACAGATGCTAGTGAAGTTGTGGAAAAAAGGGAATGCTTATACACTGCTGGTGGGAATGTAAATTAATTCAGCCGCTATAGAAAGCAGTTTGGAAATTTCTCAAAGAATTTAAAACATAACTACTATTGGACCAAGCAATTCCATTACTGGGTATACATCCAAAGGTATTTAAATAATTCTACCATAACACCAATGCACACATATGTTCATTGCAGCATTATTCACAATACCAAAGACATGGAATCAACCTAGATGCCCATTAACAGTGGACTGGATAAAGAAAATATGGTACATATACACCATGGAACACCACACAATCATAAAAAAGAATGAAATCATGTCCTCTGCAGCAGCATGGATGCAGCTGGAGGCCAACGTCCTAAGAGAACACAGGAACAGAAAACCAAATATTGCATGTTCTCACTTATAAGTGGAAACTAAAAACTGAATATATGGTTGGGTACAGCAGCTCACACCTATAATCTCAACATTTTGGGGGGCCAAGGCAGGTGGATCACCTGAGGTCAGGAATTTGAGACCAGCCTGGCCAACACCGTGAAACCTCACCTCTACTAAAAATACAAAAATTAGCCAAGCGTTATGGCGGGTGCCTATAATCCCAGCTACTTAGCAGGCTGAGGCAGGAGAATTGCTTGAACCAGGAGGCAGAGGTTACAGTGAGCGGAGATGATGCCACTGCACTCCAGCCTGGGCGACAGAGTAAGACTCCATCACAAAAAAANAAAAAAAAAAAAAAAAACAACACACACAAAAAATTGAATACATATAGATGCAAAATAGAGGATAACAGACATATGTACCTATTTGAGGTGAAGAAAAGGAAGGTGAGGACCAAAAAGCTGCCTATCAGATACTATGCTTACTACCTGAGTGACGAAATAATTTCTACACCAAACCCCAGCAAAATGTAATCTACCCAAGTAACAAACCTGCATATGTACTCCCTTAAGCTAAAATAAAAGTCAGAAAAAAAAAAAAATAAATCCTGCATAACATCTGCTTTTGTAAGTTAAAATTTAATTAGATTTAATTTTATCATTAATTAGATTTAATTCTGTCATTTATGCACCGTGTAGGGTCGTCTTTGTGCTATAACAGTGGAACTAAACATTGTAGCTGCAAAACAGATCAGATAGCCCACAAAGTCTAAAATACTTACTATCTGACTTGTTGAAAGTTTGCTGATTTGTATTCTAGGATGATAAAAAAACAAATAACTAAAAATAAAACGCTATAGAATGTTAAAATAGATGGTATAAATAGAACAAGATAGACGAGTTAACTGGTTTCTGCCTACGTCAATAAATTCAGCCAGGCCCAGTAGTTCATGCCTAGAACCCCAGCATTTTGGGAGGCTGGGGTGAGAGGAATTCTTGAGGCCAGGAGTTTGAGATCAGCCTGGCCAACAAAGTGAGACCTTGTCTCTATTTAAAATTTTAAAAATTTGATTAGTAAATTCAAAGCACTGACAAACATGTGGCTGTTTTCCTTTCCCCTCAAAAAAGCATTTTCAAAAAGGAAGATGACCTTAGAAGTTCTAAGTTAAAAAAAATTTTTTTTCAAATAAAAGTAAAAATTTGAAAAGTTATATGAACACTCCATTGCTAAAAAACTTACCATCATCATTCCAGGTTTACTTAATATGATACATTAAGGCACTGTGTTGGGCCATAAGCAAATCATATTTTTCTGAAAGCACCTTCAAATAATAAATTATATTAAAAAGTATATTTGACAAACATATACATAAAAGAAACTATGCAACATACCATAAGAAAATTCATAAAAAATAAGACAGAGTAAACTTAAAATGCTAACAACTGAATAGAAAAATAATCTCCAAGACTTCAGAGTTTAAAAAGTATATTTCATTGTAATTTCTGTATTTCTTTCATTTTTATGTAAATAGGTTTATTTGTCTGTTTATAACCTACACTAGTTGAAAAATTTGAAAGCTTATTACCTGAATTGAATGTTCACTAAATGAGGCTGGGAGCCATCTGATTGCCAGTAAGTTTCTAGATTGTCATCTCGTAACTGATCCACTCCAAATCCTAAAAACATCAAAAGTGTCAATAAATGCCTGTGAAAAAAGAAAGAACTATATATGCAAAACATGAAATTAACATATGTATTTGTCCAGAAATTTTGATAAACAGAATGGCCAGAAATGCTAAATTTATTTATTTATTTATTTTTGTAGAGACAGGGTCTTGCTGTGTTGCCCAGGCTAGCCTCAAACTCCCAGCCTCAAGGTATCCTCCTGCCTTAGCCTCCCAAAGTGCTGGGATTACACGTATAAGCCATCATACCCAGCTGTGAAATTTAAATTAACCAGAATTCTATCCTTTAATTCAGAGCTCAAATCTTAGAGAAATATCACTTGCACATACAAAGCCTATATTAGGATCAAGTTTTTTTGTTGTCACCTTTTTAAAAAACATTTTCTAGGATATATTTTAAAGTACATATGCATTCAAACTCAAGTTTATTATTCTTTTTATAAACTAATAGTAAGAATGAGCCCCAATCCTACAAAATCCTCAAAAATAAACACTTTGTAATAAGTTCAGTATGTCATACTTACTGAGACAAGAAGTAAGACAACTCAGAGACATTTCCAAAAGGCATATTTTGAAACCAAATGCTTCTGATTAAAATTCTGATTAATCAAAATTAAATTTACCCAGAATTCCGTATTCTCCAGCCATTCTAGATAATTGAAGTTGTACTATCCTGTGTTTTTTTCTTGATTAAAACCATAATAATTCATACAAATGCTAGAAATGAACCTGATTTAATAGTAAAATATGGACTTTTCAATAAGAGAAATAAGTTTACCTTATATTTCAATTTTTCACTAAGTAATATATTCATTATGGAACAAATCCAAAAGGAACAGAAAAAAACACAGTGAAAAGTCACTATCCCTCTACCATCTCATTCCTCTCTCTAAATACAATTAACGTTCTCAGTTTATTGCATGCCCTTTCACAGATACTATACACATATAAAAGCGGTCACACACGTATTCTTTTCTTTCTCCTTTCTTTACATAAATGATAGCATACAATAAATAGCTCTGCATGTTGCTGTTTTTTATTTTTACTTAACATATCTGGAGATATTTTTCCATATGAGTATTTATTCCACATCAGTAAGTTAACAAAAATAATAATAGCAAACACTGGTATCACATTAACTATGTGCCAGGCACATTCTAAACATTTTATATGTTAAATAATCTAATATTATTAACTCATATAACTCAACATAAACAGCTTCCATAGTTTATAAGATTGTATAGTATACCACTGTCTGGAAATATCATAATTATTTAACCATACCCCTACCGAACATTTAGGTTGTTTCCAATGTTTTGCTATTACATACAATACTGTAATAAATACCTGTCTGTCTATAATTTTTAAATAAATGTTATTTCTAGAGAATAGATTTCTAGGAATAGAATGCTGGCTCATTTGAATCTTTAATTTGATAAATATTGCCCAACTGTCCTCTAAAAAGCTTCCTCACTAAAAATATAAAAGAATATATATTGCCAGGTAGGAGGATCCAAGATGGCCAAATAGGAACAGCTCTGGAGTGCAGTTCCCAGCAAGAACAATGCAGAGGGTGAGTGAACACTGCATTTCCAAACGAGTTATTACTGCCCACAGACCAGGAGATTCCCGGGCTGAAAAGTGCCACAAGTTCCCAGCATGGCTGTTTCAGCCAACACAGCGGGGTCTCTGCACAAAAACTCACACAAATCTGGGTGGCTGTTTTAACTGGCGCCTGAAATGCCTGGGAGACAGAGCCACCCATTCAACAGAAACAAAGGAGGCTCAAACAGGGAGCCAGGTGATCTGGCTTGGCGGGTCCCACCCCCACAAAGACCAGCAATCTGAAACACTCTGGATTGAGAGTTTCACAGCAAGCACAGCTGGACCCAGGATGGTCCAGCTTTGTTGGGGGAAGGGCATCTGCCATTACCGAGGCAGTCCACCACTACCGAGGCAGTCTGCCACTACCAATGCAATCCGCCATTACAGAGGCAGTCCGCCATTGCCAAGTCAGTCCGCCATTACAGAGGCAGACTGTCATTACCAAGGCAGTTCTAACTATATCTCTATAAACAAAACCCAAGGAAGTTCACACAGCAGCTGGGCAGAGCCCACAGCAGCTCAGCAATGCCTCTGCTGGCAGACAGTGAATGGGCTACTTCCTTGCTGGGCAAGGAAGCTCTGAAAAAAGGTAGCAGCATGTCAGGAACTTATAAATAAAGCCCCATCTTCCCAGGAGAAAGCACCTGGAAAAAACAGCGTTCATGAGTTCCGCTGCAACAGACTTAAACCTACCTGCCCAGCAGCTCTGAATGAGCTCAGCACTTGAGCTCCTATAAGGGACAGACTGTCTCCTCAAGCACCTCCCAGACCCCCATATATCCAAAGAGTCACTTCATAAAGGAGAGCTCAGGCTGACATCTGGCAGGTATCCTTCTGGGACAAAGATAACAGAAGAAGAAACTGGCAACAACTCTTACTGTTCTGCAGTCACAGCTCATGATCCCCAGGCAACAAGCATCTGCAGTGGACTTCCAGCAGTCCTACAGCAGAGGGGCCTGACTGTTAGAAGCAAAACTAAAAAACAGAAAGAAATAACTTCATCATCAACAAAAAGGACGTCACTCAGAGACCCAATCTGAAAGTCAACAACTATAAAGACCACAGGTAGATAAACCCACAAAGATGGGAAGAAACCAGTGCAAAAAGGATGAAAACACCCAAAACCAGAATGCCTCTCCTCCTCCAAGGGATCACACCTCCTCACCAGCAAGAAGACAAAGCTGGATTAAGAATGAGTCTGATGAATTGACAGAAACAGGCTTCAGAAGATGGGTAATAACAAACTTCTCTGAGCTAAAAGAACATGTTCTAACCCAATGCAAAGAAACTAAGAACCTTGAGAAAAGGTTTGATGAAATGCTAACAAGAATAAACAGCTCAGAGAAGATATAAATAACTTAATGAAGCTGAAAAACATAACAAGAGAACTTCGTGAAGCATACACAACTTACAAAAGCCAAATCGACCAAGCAGAAGAGAGGATATAAAAGATGGAAGATCAACACAATGAAATAAAATGAGAAGGTAAGATTAGAGAAAAAAGAGTGAAAAGAAATAAAGCCTCCAAGAAATATGGGATTATGTAAAAACACCTAATCTACCTTTGATAGGTGTACCTGAATGTGATGGAGAGAAAGACTCCAGGCTGGAAAACACTCTTCAGGAAATTATCCACGAGAACTTCCCCAACCCAGCAAGGCAAGCCAATATTTAAGTCCAGGAAATACCGAGAACACCACAAAGACATTCTTCAAGAAGAGCAACCCCAAGGCATATAATCATCAGATTCACCAGGGTTGAAATAAGGGAAAAATGCTAGGGCAGCCAGAGAGGAAGGTCAGGTTACCCACAAAGAGAAGCCCAACAGACTCACGGCAGATCTATCAGGAGAAACCCTACAAGCCAGAAGAGACTGGGGGCCAATATTCAACATCCTTAAAGAAAAGAACTTTCAACCTAGAATTTCATATCCAGCCAACTAAGCTTCATAAGCCAAGGAGAAATAAAATCCTTTATGAACAAGCAATTGCTGAGATACTTTGTCACCACCAGGCCTGCCTTTCAAGAGCTCCTGAAAGAAGCACTAAACATAGAAAGGAATAACCAGCACCAGCCATTCCAAAAACATACCAAAAGGTAAAGACCATCTATACAATGAAGAAACTGCATCAATTAATGGGCAAAACAGCCAGTTAGCATCAAAATGGCAGGATCAAATTCACACATAACAATATTAACCTTAAATGTAAATGGGCTAAATGCCCCAATCAAAAGACACAGACAAGCAAATTGGATAAACAGTCAAAAACAATCAGTGTGCTGTATTCAGCACAACCATCTCACATGCAAGGACACACATAGGCTCAAGACACAGGGATGGAGGAAGATTTAGCAAGCAAATGGAGAGCACAAGAAAGCAGGAGTTGCAATCCTAGTCTTTGATAAAATAGACTTTAAACCAAGAAAGATCAAAAGAGACAAAGAAGGGCATTACATAATGGTAAAAGGATCAATGCAACAAGAAGAGTTAACAATCCTAAATACATACACACCCAATATAGGAGCACCCAGATACATAAAGCAAGTTCTTAACGATGTACAAAGAGACTTAGACTCCCACACAATAATAATGGGAAACTACAACACTCCACTGTCAATATTAGACAGATCAACAAGGCAGAAAATTAAGAATGATATCTAGGACTTGAACTCAGATCTGGACCAAGCAAACGTAATAGACATCTACAGGACCCTCCACTCCAAATCCACATTCTTCTCAGCATCACATAGCACCTACTCTAAAGCTGACCGCATAATTGGAAGTAAATCACTCCTCAGCAAATGCAAAAAAAACAGAAATCATAACAAACAGTCTCAACCACAGTGAAATCAAATTAGGGCTCAGCATTAAGAAACTGACTCAGAACCGCACAACTTCATGGAAACTGAACCTGGATAAACAATGAAATGAAGGCAAAATAAAGATGTTCTTCAAAATCAACGAGAACAAAGACACAACAGACCAGAATCTCTGGGACACATTTGAAGCAGTGTCTAGAGGAAAATTTATAGCAATAAATGCCCACATGAGAAGCAAGGAAAGATCTAAAATTGACACCCTACCGTCAAAATTGAAAGAGCTAGAGGAGCAAAATGAAAAAAACTAAAAAGCTAGCAGAAGACAAGAAATAACTAAGATCAGAGCAGAACTGAAGGAGACAGAGACACAAAAAACCCTTCAAAAAAATCAATAAATCCAGGAACTGGTTTTTTTTAAAAAATCAACAAAATAGACCACTAGCCAGATTAATAAAAAAGAAAAGAGAGAATAATCAAATAGATGCAATAAAAATCTATAAAAGGGATATCACCACAGATTCCACAGAAATACAAACCACCATCAGAGATTACTACAAACAACGCTA